TTGTAGTGGAGACCTAGCTTGAACTGACTCTGTAGCACTGAAAACTGTTGCTGCTGGCTCTGGTGGCTTCAGGGCTGAAGTCACGGGTAGGGGGGGAACAAAGCAGCAAAATGAACTGTTTCACAGCTCTGCTCAGTTCCTCCTTACACTCTTGTAAGAATTACGTCTGACTCGTTTTCTTAAGGTTCGTGGTAGAAGACTGTTGGTGCCAAAGCTGGAAGAGGAGCCTCTCTATACGGACTGTTGGGCAGTCCTGTGTGTTTACTATTGTAACGCAGCTCTTTGGCACATTGCCCACCATCTCTTTAAAATGATTGCGTTGCAGCTTAATTGTGAGTAAGATCTGCCTAGGCTGGCTGGAATAAGAAGGAGCCTGTGACTAGGGAGTGGAGCTGTCAGCCTCTTCAGCCCCATGCTGCAAGGGGATTGCAAGCGATTACAGTCCTAGGCACCGCACAGTTCGTGTCTCGGCTTGGACTTCATCCTTGCAGGCTGCCGGCGTGTGATTCCTGCAGCAGATGCTCCTGTGCCCATGTCTAGTGTGTGCTTGCTTGCGAGGTGGATGCCAGCGTGTCGGACTCCTGTGTGGCAGCTCTGCGTTAGTGGTTAAAAGTAATTATCCCGTTAGCCCTAGCATTTGAAGAATTAATCCATGTGTGTGTTTGCTAAAAGCCTATAAAACTGAACCTTTCAGACGGACATCTGAATGTTTCTGGGCTCTTTCTCCCTACTGGAGAGAACAGCACTGCACGTTGCATTTTAAAGCTGTGAAAGCTGTGTGATCCTTTGCAGTCAAACTCTGATTCGTGAATGACTCTTCTTTGTTAGTCCTGAGTATCTTTTTAATCTGTTGTGTTCCAGTGTGTGACCGTGCAAAGTACGGGTTCGTTGACAAAGGGAACTTTCTGTCAATAACTGCTTTTGGGACGCTGTGGACACTGGAGCGTTCGGCATGGCGTACTTTAAATTTGACCGTGAGAGGGACGCTGCTCGTACCCGGCGGGGCAGGAAGCGGGAGCATGTCGCCAGGCTCGCTCTGCGGAGGCTTGCAGCTTACCACTTCCTCTCGCTGCAGTGGAAGAACAAAAGAAACGCCAGTTTTTAGTTCAGTTTAGCCTCTAAAAAGTTGCAGTTGAATGTGTTAAACTTCTTAGCATCGCAGCAGAGCTGCTTATGGGCCTCCCCCTTTGTATTCTTCTTTTAGCTTTGAAATTCGTCTTTATTTGAGAATTTTGATGAAGTTCCTACTAGACATCTTAGGTTCCGGGAAGGTTTTTTTATGCAGCTCCTGAGTTTTAGAAGTGGTCAAGGGAGTGGTTGTCTGAATCGTTTTGATGCTGCGAGGGAAATGACTAACCACAAGAAACCAGTCTGCGTGAGGCACAGACTGGTGCACAGAGATACCGAACTGCAGCGTAAGCCTGCTTGCTCGGGATTCTTTCACGGGTTGTGCTGCTGGGTCTTAGCTGCAGTGGGTGACAGTGCGTGCAGAGTTGTCTTCAAACCGCAGTAGTCCCTGAGCCAACAGTTGTTCTACTTAATTCTAAGACTTCAGGCCTAGACACAAAAGAGCTTTAAAACTGATCTAATTTGCTGTTGTCTGTGGTATAATACCCTTTCCAGAAAAATCTGTGTTTGTGCTTTATAACCTTGGAGGCCAAAAGAAAATCTATTCGGAGCAAAGGTCATTTGTTTTCAGACCTGAACACGATTACCTGTGGTTTCAGCAGGTGTTGCACCTATTTAGGAGAAAAATCTTTGCAACAAGGGAGACACAAAATCCTGTCAAATGTAAAATGGAAACTCTTGCCAAACTTCTGTTCCATATAGTAAGGATTTTTTTAAAGTACACATCATTCTTACGTCATTTTTAGAAGAATGTGAATTAATGACAGTATCTTTTTGCCTGTAAATCTACAGGTGAATCTTGCGAAATTGCAATTGCAGCAGTAGTCATAGCATTTTAAATTAATGCAATTAATTTCATATGCTGTTAGAAGTGCTGATGTGATATTTCTGCTCGTAATTTGTATTCTAACTAATGGGCTAAACTACATATCCATAGCACATCAAGATTAAGTGGCTGAAACTCGGTATTTCCAGTGTGTTAAAGTATTGATATCGCGTGCAAGAAGAATGAAAGTCAGATAGTTAATGTCCATATTTCATATTCAAATGCTACTGTAGTGTATTAAAAAATCCCGTAGCTTCCTGTTTAAGTGATAGATGAATCTTAAAGCTAGAAACAGCATTTTCTCAATTAAGATACTCTTGATAGTTGTCACTTCAATTGCATCTGAGGAAAGAAGAAATTAAATATATAAAATAACCTACCCTGCCCCCCCCAATCTTTTATGAACTATAACTAAGTATAAAGTAACTATTTAAGATTCAGTGAAATAAAAATGGTCCATTAGTTTCAAAACAGATTAATTGGAGGTACATGGGGATGGCTGTCCTGGGATTCAGAAATCAGGCAGTCATGTAGCAGGACTCGAGCAGTCTCAGTCTGAGCTGTGTTACAGTGTAGGCTTAAGAGACGTGAAAGGTAAAGCAGTCCAGGGTAAAGGCTGGTCTGTTTGGAAATCTTGGCTTGATTCATAGCTCCATTTGAGCCCTCTAAATCTTAAAAGACATTATTAAGCCCTTCTGAATTAATTGATATTTTTTCCACCCATGGCTTAAAATCTGAGGCTGATTCTGAACACAGAACTGATGGGTACCATGTGGAAGTGTCAGGGGGGACAGGAGAGCAGTGTTTTCTCGATACCTTATGGAGCTACCTAGAACATCTGAGTTCCTCCTAGACTGGTGCTCTTGACAAGTCCCATGTTTGATCTTCTGCAGCCACCATCAGTAACTATCTGTATATGGCTTTTGTCTCCGGTGATGCTTTACCATCTACTGTGATGTCTGATTAGATTGCATTAAACTTCAGTTTTCAAAAGTAGATGCCAGCTTTGAGCAGGAGCTAAGGGGCCGTAGTATGTATTTTTTCCTCTGAGCCAGCAGAAGTTCTAGGGAATTGACTTGAACTGCAGGGGCTAGTCGAAAGCTGAGAAAAACATACATTGAAATTAGTGAGCTTACCAGCGTAAAATGGAAGACTTTTGAGATTAAATCTTGCTATCGTAGTCTTGACTAACTCTAGTAGTGAGCCTGAGTTTGGTCTGTTTTCACTGTGCAGAATAACTGATCCTTGACGTGGTGGGTGCAGCTGAAAACCTTTGTGCATCCTCAGCACTTCCCAGTGTTCGGAAGGAATGACACCTTCAGAATAATGTTTTTGCCTGAGTTTGCTCTGACCAAATTGTCAAAAGGAAACCGAGCACTTCCTTTGCATTTGTTGCAAAACTCAGAGTATCTCTTTCTCTCTGGCAGGAATCGACTTTAAGATCAGAACAATAGAATTAGATGGAAAGAAAATCAAGCTACAAATATGGTAAGTATTTCAAAGTAACTGACGTTTTCAGTGAGTATTGAATTAAACTTTGAGCAGGATTACTTCATCGCTTTGGAGCCTAGGTGTACCAGAAGTTTCGTACCTTTTATTCATCGACTGTCCGTAAGGTCTGTGCTGTCTTCTGTCTTGCTCTTGGCGTGGTTCTGTGGCAGCAGCACAGGAAATTGCCTGTTCATGTGTGAGCGTTATGGCAACTTTCCACTTTATCAAAAACTGTCCGCTTAAATGCGCTTTTCGCTATGCCCTGTGGAAGAGAACTATTTGTCAACTAAAATACACAACCTAACAAAATGTAATCTCCTCTGATACTTTGTCACCTCGGTGTACTTGGTGGCAGAGAAAGGCGGTGCCCCCGTTCCCGGCATGGTGGCTGAGTAGAGACCTTGAGCCTCCTAACGGTAGGAGCTGAGTATCTTTGGACGAGCATTATTACACGCGCCAGACTCTCTAAGCACTCCTGGTGACTGTAGGGCTCTTGCTGATTTCTCAAGTTCTGGAAAAGATAGTTGTGATACTTGCGTGCAAGCTGGAATCCTGGTGAGTAAGGAAGTGAAGTGCCAGAAGTGGTTGGTAGAAGCGTACTGTCTGTAACGGAAGCCAGAAGGCTGGTTTTTGTCAGGCCAGTGGGGTTCAGCCGCCCCCCGGCGTGACCAGACACTGTGGTCCTCTGGTTCGCTCAGATAGGTAGTGCTTTGAAGTCAGCTGGGATAAAATACCAGCATGCTAGGGGATAGTGGCAGACTTTAACATCTAACTGTACTTGAAAATACACTATCCTAGAATATTTTACTGCTGTATGTTTTATTTTTTGTTTAATGCAGGACTCAGATGTATCAGAGCTGCCTTTTTTAATGATTCCAGGGGAGGCTGTGTAGTGCTAAGTTCGATTGCTTGCATGACAATTTAAATGCTTTTGTGCCAGAGGTACGGTGCTGCTGTACCCACTGGTGTGAGTAGGATAGCATAGGAGTGAGGAAGACATTGAGGGCTGAGGAAACTTGCGCAAACAGCTTCTAAATGGTGTTTTTTCGTAATGGGTGGGTATCAATACATTGTTACTCTGTTTAAAAAGACATCTCTCAGTTCAGAAGAGTGTAAAGATCACCTCCAACAAATGCTTGTTTTCACTGAATTTTAGGGATACAGCAGGCCAGGAGAGATTCCGCACAATCACAACAGCTTACTACAGAGGAGCCATGGTGAGTGCTCTCGCTTCAAAAGAAATTTGCAACAACTAGTGTAACTGGTTTGCTGCTGTTCAGGTTCTGCCGTGTAGGTCTTCGACTGGAGGGTTGGATAGTTGTGGCTTGAGATGTGGGGAATAAAGTTTGTGGTTTGCTTGGGTTATTTTTGTTTTGGTTTTTTTTTTTTTTTTTTTTTTCCTTTTTTTTAAACCTGCTGGTACTTTGTCTAGTCCTTTTTTTGTGATGAAACTTCAAGCCCTCTTGTCTTTTTTAATATAGTTAAAATTTCTGCAGATTATAATAAGAAGTTAAGTTGCCAAGCTTTAATCAGAACAATTTTTTTTAATGCAATCAACCGCTTTAAACATTTGAAATGCTTGAAAAATAGGTAATGAATTATTTTAACATTAAAAGTGTATTTCACAGAATTGCTTTTCTTTCAGCCAGTTGAGAATGCAAAATCTGGGCTGGAAATAGAATCGCCTACAAAAGCTATTGTTACTTTTTCCTCCATTAAGAGTGACTGGAAATCAAATAACTGACTTAAGGCCTGCACTCTTTGTGGTACGACTGCTTGTGATGCTTCTTATTGCCCCGACTGGAGATACGTTATGTTGGGACACTGTTAATTTCAACCTGCTGATTACTAGCTGTGCTGCTACCCCATGTTTTTATCACGTTGTGTGAACAGATCCATTCCGTTCCTGGGCTGACTGTGGGTACAAATAACTCCACTGTTACGGAATACAGATGGGGAGAAATAGTAATGGTTGTGGCTCTGTGTTAGAGCTTTCTAGTACTTAAAAAGGTTTTGACAGTGACATGGTCTTCTCCCCACCTCCAGTCCACAGCCCAGAACTTTTCTGTGTCCTATGACGAATGACTGGAAAGGCAGTAAGGAGTGGAGGTGAACCTGGCAGTCAGTGCCTAATGCAGCTGTTGTGTGGTTCCCCACACGTTGCTAGTTGTCAAGAGCCCACACTAGCATACGTAGGTAACTACCGAAAGAACTCGAGCTGCTGGGAGCGCGTCTACTGTCACCTTTGCTCTAAGTGGCTGCTGGCCCCAGCAGGCTGGATCTCACAGGCTGGTCATCTTCAACCGCTTAAAGCTGCGGCTTCTGAACTTGACTTTATTGTTAAAGTCCTGGTTGCTGTTGTAGTAGAATCTCTAAACTTTTCCTGACTGCAGGCTAATAATTTAAAACTTCATATAGGTTGTGTGTTTGACCTCTAACAGTGGCAACAGATGTTAAATAGTAATAGTTTGCGTAAATTCTCAGCAATGACACAGGGCTTTGACAAAGGATTATAGGTGCGTAAGTTGTGTGTTGGATTTCTTGCAAGTACAGTCAAACCCAACAGCATACATCAGAAGTCAGCCAACAGTGCTAGCTCATCTAATTGGATTTTCTTAATTTTATTTAGGGAATTATGCTGGTGTATGACATCACAAATGAAAAGTCTTTCGACAACATAAAAAACTGGATAAGAAACATAGAGGAGGTAGGTGCTTTGGAGAGTACTTCTTACTTGTTGCATCTTACGATTTCTTTGGGACAGTTAATAATCAAGTAATTACTCACTTTCATTGTAGTAGCCAGCATATGTGGCTGAGTTAGACTGTGTAGTGAATGCAGCAGTGGTTATTAATGGTGAGAATATTATCTCGTTCGTCAAGGGGTAGAAGGTCAAAAACTTACGTTTAAAAAGCAAGCATAAAGTGTTTCCAAACTGCTCTTACTATATGACTTTTATTGTTCTTTTTTGCTTTTGGGTGTGTCCAAGGAGTGGGAAGGAGCAAGATCTTAGGGTGTCTACCTTCCACTGAGGTGGTGGCAGATCTGTCTAATTTCAATTGTTAATGTGTTGTGTGTTTGTCTGTTTAGAGATTTTTGACCTTTTCATTTGGTGTTGCGTAAGCTTCCTTCCTGCTAACTTATCGTATCTTACTTCGTAGGACATGCTGTCAAGTAGGGGTAGGTCATTATGAAGTTAGAGGAGAAACCTGAAGTTTAGTGAAGCTGTAGTTAGGTAGCAGAATCTTACTGGGTTTTTTTCCGTAGACGTAAAATCCGTGGGCTTTTCTTTAGAATTGTTCTTTGGCTCTGAAGCAAAATTCCTGTATTACTGACCAGTTTGATCCAATAGTGACTGGGCTAGATGTGTTCTGTTGTTGAAGTTCTCTTGCTGAAGTGATTTATTACCTAAAAAATCTTTTATTAATAATCTGTTTTAAAAATGCAAATGTATGACATGATGATACTCCAGCCAAATACCCTAGATGTCCATGCACCATTTGAAGTGTGTACCGTGACATTTCTAGAATAGCCAAATGCCCGTGCATGTGTGCACCCTGGTACAGAGCTTATGGTACTGTGTTTGATCTGTAATAGCGCTCAGGCAAATTTAATCCAGGGGTATTTATTCCAACCCACTTTAATATTTAAATGTTAAATTGCCTGTTTCAAAAGTCAATCTCTTTCTCAGTAATGCCTTCACATTAGACAGCTCCATTAGATAACGTATGTTCTCATTTCCTGGATTTCTCTAACATTCATTTGCGGACGAGTTTGACGTATGTTTCTTTCGAATAATGATGCACTTTGTTTCTGAGAGATTACCTTTTCTTCTTTCAGCATGCCTCTTCAGATGTAGAAAGAATGATCCTGGGTAACAAATGTGATATGAATGAAAAAAGACAAGTCTCAAAAGAAAAAGGGGAGAAGGTAAGCTTTGGTGACTTACCTTGTTTAGAAGCTGACTGTTCTTCGGACTTTGGCTGCTGGACACTTGGTATGTTTTAGGCATATGAGAGATAATCGGCCTCAAACCTCATTTCAGAAACTTTTACATATAATAGGATGCCAGGTTCGGGGTTTTTGTTTTTAAGTAGCACTTGACTGACTTCAAGTTTGAATAAACTTAATTGATACTGTTGTCTTGAGGGGAAGATCCCGTGAAGAATGTTGACCTTTGCTACAACATGAAGTATTCTGAATCTCAGTATAAAGAGATTGTCTATAGTTTGGTCATGTTGTACTCGATTCACTGTGGTGGTTACTTACTCTTGTTATAAGTACTGTTATTAAAGCTGAAGTAATTAGTTGTTCTGCAGAACAAACAAGCAAGTAAGAATACTATATAATCCATCATAGACACAGCTAAAGTAGTTTAGTTGCTAGGAACACAACTTAAGGGATGATTGTATGTAGTTACCTGGTCCGTAAATCTGTATCAGTGAAGATTCTATCGTAATGTTCTTTTAGGTCCTAAATAGGTCTTTTTGTAGAGCAATTAATCTCTTTGTTGGTTTTGAATTTACATGAGGGTATGGCCTGTTCTAATACTTTGTCTAATTGTCCAGTAACTTTAATGTGTTTGCAAGAGAAAAACAGCAGTGAAGCGTGTTTGGTTTTGTTTTTAAAGCTTCCTGCAGCATACAGCACCTATTTTGTTATGAACCTGTGTGAAACATGCCTTTTGCAAAGGAACTTCATAAACACTGAAAAACTTTAACCTCTCTTCCAGCTAGCAATTGATTATGGAATCAAATTTTTGGAGACAAGCGCGAAATCCAGCATAAATGTGGAAGAGGTAAGAGATGGGCGTTAGGCTTATGGTGTGGTTCTTGAACTACTGCTGTGGAGGCATGTTTCATGATCTGCTGGGCTTTCTGGCCTGAGCTGGGACCCGACATCCCAACTGTGCTCCTGGGTCACTGATCTTGTTATAGTTACAGAGCTACTGTAAAATCCAGCATATCTTGTTTTCTGGTAATGTCTGGAATTGTTTTTTAAATAGCTGTTAACAGAGTGGCTTACTATTATTGTCACAAACAGTTGATGTAGACTTCTGTGCCTTGCTACTTAAATTGCAAGTGCTTTTGGACAGAGAATACATGTGATTTGGAACAATGCTTTATGCAGGAAATTGGATTCAAGATTCTTTACTTTCAGAATAACATGCTACTGTGCCAAGGAGCCTTCAGCTTACTGTTAAATATGTGCTATGAAGATTTGTGTGTTAACCTGGAACATCAGCATAGACTGTCATAAGCTGATGTTAGAGGAGGAAGACAGCTTATAATACTTCATCTATAATACTTCATCTATAGACTTGCACTCTGTTTTCCTGCAAATAAATTTCATGCTAAAAACACAAGATCACTATTATGAGAGC